CATTATGCTCTAAAGACTAAACATAGATCCATCATAAGATCCAACTGTATACACTGCTGGGTATTTAATTAAATTACATCACTGCAGTGCAGACTCTTTGATTCTCAAATTTATTGGCAGGACTATTTCTAACAAACATATAAAATATAGAATTAACTGAGGTGTCTATCAACAGATTAACGAGTGAAGGAAATATGGCCTACATGAACGATGTAATATAAAGTCACAGAGTCTTATCCCATCATTACCATTGAAATGGATGAACTGGAACATTTTCCTTTGGGAGAAGAAAGAGACACAGAAAGACAAATATCACATTTTCCTCACATACTTAGAAGCCTAAAGATGTCTTCTTGACTATAGGATAGTTGTTACAGGAGATTGAGAAGTACAGAGGGTAGAGATGAATAAATGAAAGGCAGGATGTTGGATAACAGGTAACAAAACATAAATAGATAAATTAGGTTCTGGTAGTCCACATTCCAGAACAGTGTTTTAATGCATAATTATCTTTTATACATTTTATGAAAAGATGTAATAAAGAAGCTTGAAGGTTTCAAAAAAACTATAAGGAAAGGATAATGCCTATTTCCTTCCTTGGTCAGTATAAGCTATACCCATTTTAAAATGCTACACCAAGTCTCACTAATGTACAGATTAACACATGTTCAATTTTGTAAACTGTCATAAAGATAATAAGATAATGAAGAGGAAGATGTTAACATATTATTTTAACCTGTCTCAGGTTGATGTGTGCATAGTCTCCTGGGAATTTCTAGCTGAAACCAGCTGTGGATTCCCAAGAGTTCTTGGTAGTAATGAAAAGTTACTTGGTAGCTTCCTTAAATAGGGGCAGGATCATGAGTCACATAACACGTAGTTGACTTGGCAGCAGGTGGAACAGATACCTCCCTTTGTATTGAAAACCAGGTAAGATGCTAGGACCAATAATACAAGACAGAAGTTGTCAAGAATTAAGGTAAAAGGTATCACTAGGGTAGGAAATACTTAGGGATGAGGGAAGAGAAATTAGAGGCAAAGTGCAGGAGTTTTGGACAGGGAGTGTTGGAATAAGAAACAGAGAGGTCTGTATTAAATTTGCAAGCAAATATTTGTTTCCAGGATAAAACATCAAAGGCAATTATGTCTTAAGACTGGAATAGGATTTTTATAGTTCGCAGAGGCTCCAAATGTGACACTCTACACTTTATTTATTCCTTGCATGGCCTTTAAATTAGGAGGCCTCTGAACTTTTGTGTTTTTAGGAGATAAGCTTCTATACACATTTTTTTGCAAGATCCTCATGTCATAAGATTCCATCTAACTCTCATCATACTTAGAAGCTCATCAAATTAAATTTTCCACTTTTGACCATCATATAAACAACTAGAAATAGGTATATTAGGTATATGTTTGAAGTTCTGGTTCTACATGTAGTGAGACCTCATGCAGAATGGGTAACCAAGACCCTTCAGCTGATGAGGAGTCAAAGATAGGTAGGTGTGTGTGTGTGCATCTTATGTATTTTCAGACAAGATTTAATAATGCAGGCTGGTGTGAAACTCACAATTCTTCTGCCTCACCATCTTGAGGAAGTGTTAGTATTACTGACTTACACCACCATCCTCAACACCAGCATCTGTCTCTCTGTCTATTGCTATGAGACACTAAGATATACATTTTATATTTTCACTTCCTATTTCTAATGCTGTGATGGTCAAACAAATTTCAGATGTCACCAAAGGAACAAGGATTGGGCAGCAGTAGAAAGTTGCCTAGTCCATTGAGAACTAGGTTGGATGTAGGTGGATTGTAACCATTCCTAAATGTTGAGATTTATTTGATATGGCAGAAGTTTAGTCTTCCAATTGGGTACCAATTCAAAGCATCACAAAGAATACAAAAGTTGCACAAAGAAATGACTATATTGTGAGGGCAGATTCATAAATATTAATCTAATCTATCAATTATATAGCTTTTGTTTGTTTGTTTACAAAAAGTCAAAAAGTAGTGCTTGGTAAACTTGGGCTGACAATACTCCCCACAAGAACCATGGACTAATAAAACCTCAGTATCAGTTACATCCTTTGAATAATTGGTCAGTGTAGTCCAAATGACTCTCTAAACAGTATAGACTATTGATGCAGCCATTGGTTGCCTCTTGGGAAGAGGGTGGGAAGTACTGTTGAAGCCATGGCATTCTTAGGGCACAAGACTCATATTTTAGCTGAATCTCCTGCAATTATCTCCAGTGGGCCAGCCTCCATGGTATCAGAAAAAATATTTATTTGTTGTATATATTTTGGTGTGTATGTAGGCATGGAAACATTTATTAATGTGATTTTTAATTCTTGGGGCAAATTCTGTTGTATAAAATGTAACATTCTTTAGAAATTTCCTGTCTATTCACTCACTTGTTATTTATGGTGTTTTGATGTTTTCATGAGTAACCATAGCAATAACTTTCCATCTTTTAGTTTCCTCTTGATTAGGGATTCTCAAGTTTGGCTCCATAAACAACTAGGTGGATTAACTTTTCATTTTGAGGGAAGAACATGTACATTTTAAGATGTATAGTAAAATTCTTGGGTTCTGCTTTTTATATTCATGTAACATTCTCTCCTTTCTTATGACAACCAAAAAGGACTTCAGATATTACCAAATCAAACTTTGGAAAAACATTCACACTGTTCTTTGCTAAATCATTTTAAAATGAGAAATACATATATATTTTTCTCTTACTAATACTTAAGGAATTATTGTAGTGCCATTTTCAAAATCTTCAACCCAGATAAACCTTGTTGACAGAGAACTCATAATCTTGACTAATGTTCTCATTGGCCTATGCTAGGACAAGTACTTGAATACCAGTAAGTTGTGAGTTCCACATGGGTGCTAAAGCAGAAGCTATAAAAGCTACAAAATATGAAGACTTCCCATCCCTGATTTGGAATAAAGCAAATGAAATCTGGTAGGTATCCTAGAGACTTAATATTGCTAGATTAAATATCCCCAGTGCAGCATTATTTTTTCTTGTGGAAGCCCCATTTATAGAAATCAAGACCATGCACTATATAGGACTAAGGGTAAAAATATGTCTGAGACTGTACAATCTAAGTTAACTTCAAGAAAGAGTTTATGCCTGAAAATACCGTGGGCCAGAGTATTCTTATGTATTTGCATAATGAATGCAATTGAGAAAAGGGTAAGTTTGTCAACGGCAACTCATTTCTTCAATTACATGAGTTATCTTGGGAGTTTGACAAGTATGACATTAGACATAAATCCTTGGCAAGACTCATTGTGAGGTGAGGGAGCAAGACATGTGTAGCACAGTTATCCCTCTGTGTTAATCCCACCACCCCAAAGACTGGCTGATATCTGGACTACTTGGCTTCTATGGTGCAAAAATCTTATATTTTTCTCTTTGGAATTATAATTTCAACAATTCTCCCTTCCCTTTCCTTCTCACAAGCCTTCCCACATTCCTCTTCCAGATACCAGGGAGTCCATCACTAATATGAGTAGTTTCTGTTATTTTTCACATATCTGTATCCAAATATCCCTTAAAAATAAGTGGAGGAAGAATTTATTTTGGTTTGTGGATCAATGGATGACACTTCCTTACTTGGCTTTGTTTCTAGGCCTATTGTGAGGTAAGTTATCATGGTGGTAGGAATTGTGTGGGGGAGGATCTTTATGCTGGACAAGAAGCTGAGAAAATCTGGAAACACAGGAAGAGGTCAGAACAAAATATAGTTCTAGGACTATATCCTCTGTGGCCCATTCTCCCAACTAGGTGCCACTGTATATATTTCACTACCTCCCAATAACACAATTATTCTGCATACATTCAGGGACTAATGCATCCATTATGTGAGAAATTTCATTTAATTGTCTTTGAAGATAAACTCACAGAGGCATTCAGAAGTGTGCTGAATCCCCCAGGCAGATCTTAATCTAATTTAATCCAATCAAGTTGGTGATGAAGATTAATTATTGATGTAGAGATGCAGAATTCAAGAATACCCAGGACAGAATCAAAGATTACGGTAAAAGAAAAAGGACCAGAGTTGTGAACATTCTGAGAAGGACCAATATCAATGGCCTGGGAGAGTTGTGAGTGCTTTAAATCAACTGAGCAGATAGACATCACAACTAGTGAATATAAAATAGAAAAACTGAACGAAAGACTCAATAAACTTGCGGATGGAGTAGCTGTGTTGAAGGTTGGAGGAGCAAGTGATGTTGAAATGAATGAGAAGAAAGACAGTTACAAATGCTCTCAATGCTACAAGAGCAGCTGTTGAAGAAGGTATTGTTCTAGGAGAGGGCAGTGCTCTTCTTCAGTGCATCCCAACCCTGGATTCATTAAAGCCTTCTAATGATGATCAGATGTAGTTTGAAATGCTGGGAGGATGGCTCTGTCACTTAAGTGCTTTCTGTGGGAGCATGAGAATACAAGTTCAGTTCTCCAGTCCGCATGTATAAAAGCTGAGTATTGGGGTATGAGTCCACCATCCCAGGACTGAAGAGAGAAGATTCCCGAGCTTCACTGGTCAGCGGGTCTAGCTGAAATGGAGAGCTCCAGGTTCCGTGAGAGATTTTTATCTGAAAAAGTAAGGTGAGAGACGTAGAGGGTCACACTCGATGTAGGCCTCTGGGGTCCATGCATATGAGGGAACCTGCATAAATACACATATGTGCACATGAATATAGAAAGATGTAGGGTTATTATTATTTTATGGAGTTACCTTCTAACTTTAGAGTTATTTATAAATATATCTGAAAATAAAAATCTATATTCAAATAATATAGAGCTCTTAAATAAAAGTATGAAGAAACTGTTTAAGTATATTCCATATTTAAAGAAAGTTATATTTTTCATCTCCTAATTTGAGCTATATTAAATTTAACCCATATTTTATAATCATTACAACTAAGAGATAATTTGCATTGATTATTGGTGGTATTGTAGGTGAATAAGACAAATACTTGTGATGCTTCTCAATACTTCAGAGGTTGATGTCGCCTCATTCCTACTTATTGGGATCCCAGGCCTTTAGCATGTGCACATTTGGGTCTCCATCCCTATTTGCCTCATGTATCTTACAGCCATCCTGGGAAACTGCACTATCCTCTGTGTCATCAGAACAGAGTCTTCTCTGCATGAGCCCATGTACTATTTCCTCTCCATGTTGGCTTTATCTGACATGAGCCTGTCTTTCTCCTCCATCCCCACGATGCTAAGAATATTCTTGTTCAATACCATGGGGATTTCTGCTGATGCCTGTATTGCCCAGGAATTCTTCATCCATGGATTCACAGATATGGAATCTTCAGTGCTCCTTATTATGTCTTTTGATCACTTTGTAGCCATCAGGCACCCACTGAGATACAGCTCCATCCTCACAAGTTCCAGGGTTGTGCAAATTGGGTTAGTATTTGCTGTTAAAAGCATTCTCCTGGTTCTCCCACTTCTGTTTACTTTAAAGAGACTCAGATACTGCAACAAGCACCTGTTATCACATTCCTATAGTCTCCATCAGGATGTCATGAAGCTGGCATGCTCTGATAACAGGGTTAACTTTTACTATGGGCTGTTTGTTGCACTATGCATGATGTCAGACCGTGTGTTCATTGCTGTATCCTATGTGTTCATCTTGAAGAGTGTGTTGGGAATTGCATCCCATGGGGAGCGGCTCAAAGCTCTCAATACCTGTGTCTCCCACATCTGTGCTGTGCTAATCTTCTATGTACCTATCATTACCTTAGCATAAGTCTCCCTTAGCTATGATTCTGATAGCAGATGCTTTCTTGCTAGTACCACCCTTGATGAATCCCATTGTGTACTGTGTAAAAACACGGCAGATTAGAGTAAAAGTCTTAGAAAAACTGGGTTCTGCATTCTAAGTAATGGGAACAACATTCTTAAAAGTTCCATTTTCTCTACAATAAGCACTTTAGAGAACGGACAGTGATTCATCCTCAAAGGGGATACATTTACTTCACAGTCCTGTAGTTTGTTTCAATCACTTATTTTGATCCCTCCTCGTGCTGCATTATACCCTTTACAGCATGTCTGAGTTTGTCTGAGTCTGTTCGTTGATGTTCAGAGTGTTGTTGTAGCAGTACGTCACCTCAAGAGCTGCTGACACTGTGGAATCAGTGCTGCTGCAAGCTTTTGAGCCAATACTCGGCGAGAGCCCATGTAATTGACATGTTCGAGGAATATGTTCTAGGATGTTGTGAAAGAGGAAATTATAAAAACTTTCATTTGTCCATTCTGATCTATGGTGTTATCAATTTTAGAGGGGTAAGTTACAAAAAGGTTTTGGCATTTGGCAGCATCACAGTGAAAGTTAGAGGACAGAATATTGGATTTTAGGAGTTGGAGGGTCAGTTATAACTCTACTATACATATGTATGTCTGTTACACCAAATGTATCGTGAATTCCCACACAGCAAAGTGCTTCGGTCTATTCAATTTTAAATCTCTTATCAGTAAAGTAACGTTTCTATCACATGTGCCTGGAAGATACATATCAATTTACACTGAAATATTAAAGTAAGTGAGGAAATGTTGGTAAATTGGTAATACAAAAGAATATAAAACAAAGAAGCTATTATAGTCTTTTTTCTGTGACAAAACACTCTGACTAGAAGCAACTTAGGGGAAGAATATGTTTATTCATCTTATACTTCAGGTCACAATCTATCACTGAGGGAGGCAAGGGCAGGAACTTGAAGCAGAAGCAATGAAAGAACGATGCTTTCTGCCTTGCTCACAGGCTTGAGCTCATCTACATTTCTTGTAGAGTCCAGATCTACCTTCCTAAGGCTGGTGCTGCCTATGGTGAGCTGGCTCATCTCACATCAATCATCAGTAAAGATAATCCCTCCTAGATCTGACCACAGGCCAATATGATCCAGGGGATTCTTCAGTTGAGGTTTCTTCTTCCCTGGTGAATTTAGGTTCTATAAACTTGACATTAAGAACTAACCAAGACAAAGAAATATCAAATCTAGAAGTTTTTGTGATGAGAAAAAGCTTGACTCAGATTAGCAAAGTATATTTAGTAAGTAATGACACCCAATGTCAATGTTATTCTGGCTCTGCTGAGACAAGCCAGAGTAGTCATTACCTAGACTCTGTTAAGACTTTCTACTTTCTACACATCAGTGTAAGAAGATAATACTGTTTGGGTATAGGAAGCTTTGTGAGATACATGGATTCTTCCACTGAACCTATTCCACTCTAAAGAAAACCAAAATGACGAAGCTTGCATGCATATGAATGAAAATGGAAAAAGTTATACTGAATGAGGCAACCCAGGTCCAAAAGGACAATTGGTAGATGTTCTTTTCTATATGTGAATGCTAGCTTTGATTGACTAGTTTTGTTTGTTTGTTTAACTTGGAGTACTTGTGGAAGTGGGAAAACTAGGAAGAGAATATTAATGGATCACTTTATGAGAAGGCGATAGTAGAACATAGGTAGAATGAAAGCAGAATGAGAGAATACTGCTCAAGCGGGAGGGGCTTGGGAGATTTAGGAGATTAGGAGTATAGGAAAGTTAACCAAAGAGAAGGAGGTATGAACAAGCTGTATGGAAACATACTATCTTGAAACCTAATTTTAAAAATATGGAGGATACATTGAAGGTAGTTCATTGCATGGGTGGATAGTGATGCTCCTTGAAGCAATGGTTCACACAGAAAATCTTCAGTGCCATATAGAGAATACTTCTGTAGGAGGTGCTGGTCAGGGAGATCCTATAGGCCTCCCAAACAACACAGGCTCTGGTCAGTCCTTTTGTTGCCCATCAAAGTCAGGTTATAAGACCCTATTGTTAAAAAGATAACATACCTAAGTTGCTAGATACAGAGAAAGCAAGTAGGTAGACAGCCTTGAACTTCCTTTCTATGGGCTTTTAATGTTTTAAATGGTGTGAAGTTTCTGGGGGAGAAAAAACATGAAGAGTTTTATTCAGTTGTGAGTCTTATAAATTACAAAATTGGGCAAGATGTGTTCATTTGTATAATCGTGGCACAATTACTATGGGAGTCACCAAATACACGCTGCATTTAAGGCCCACATCACAAAAGGGAGACATATCTAGTGTCATAAAGCTGGACTGCAACCTGTATGATGGGAAGCCATAGGTCCAAGGGGGAAACACACTGCTGTTGTTTAAATAAATTGACAGCATCAAACTGTGTTCCAAATCTCTGTGTATGTCCATAGAAAAAGGTTACTCTCAGACTTCATGAAAGAATACTGTCTTTGCAGTAGATGCCAATCAATTCAGAGACCCAAGAGTGACCAATATGCTGAGAATAAGTGATGGCTTAGGGCTCAGTCCTAAATAAGATAGCTGTACCTTCAGAACTAAGGGTTAGGGACCATTGAGAAGAAAGGAGATGGGAGCAATGTAAAATCTTGAAGACAGTGAGAATGGCTGTGGTTTGTTATTATCTAGGTATGTCCTAGTGTCTGAATTCACAAGTCTGCAGCAACTGTAGTTTGCAATGGAAGTACACAAAATTGTTTCATTGATAGATTCTGGTAAAGGGGAAGTCATCGTCTTCAGTTGTGTATTAACTTCAGAGTCCACTAGTCGCCAATGGTTAGCACCAAATCCATGGCCAAACAGATGGCCCTGGTTAAATCCACAAAACAAAGCAGAAGTGAATATGAGAAAAGATTTGTAGGGGAGAGGGAGGATAGATAGGTGGAAGGGATGTATGTATGTGACAACAATCAGTATGTACTACATGTTTGTATTAAGATACTAAGGAAAATTTAATTAATCAAAAATATGCATACAACTATATGTGGAATGCAAAGGTCAAAAAACCCATTGTAAACAATAAATGAAAGACTAAAATCATAAAGGAATAAAAAAGTGAAATTGGTTATGTAAAATTATTTGACAGTTGTTTGATGAAGAAAACTAAACATAAGTATCATAATTGGAAAGACATGAAACTAATATCACTTGCAAATTTAAACTTAAAATATAAAAATAGAAATTAGATAAATGTTTCTTTTTAGTAGACTTCATAGGACAGGATACAAATAGGAACAGGAAACATTAATAGACATATGAGAGAAATTCTTTTTCATTATTTGGGAAATTTAAAATAAAGTAAAGAGACATAGTTATAAAATGAATAAGAATTTAAAAACTCTACAACAGTCACTTTCATTGATATGGAATAAAACTATATTCTTCTGTAAGGCATAAAGTACATGCATATGATCTTTTGTGAAAGGGTTATATACAGAAAATTTCAATTTACAGTCTTATAGAGCCATTAGTAATAACTCAGAGAGCACCCTTGCAGAAATACTAATATAAATATTCAAAAGGAGTTACACAGGGATTTTTCTTTTTTATCTTCCTCAATGGCTCTCTATTAATTTTTTTGTTTTTTTAAATTTAGGTAAGAAACAAGGTTGCTTCACAAGTCAGTTCCAGGTCCCTCTCCCTTTCCCTCCCCTCTTCCTGTGCCCTCCCCCAACCCCCCATTATCCCCTCATTTCCCCAGGGAGGGTGAGGCCCTCCATGGGGGCGTCCATAGTCTGTCATTTCATATAGGGCAGGGCCTAGACCCTTCCCCAAGAGTTCAGGGTGAGAGGGATTTTTCATTAGAGCACTGTTTGGAGTAGCAGTAAACTGAAGACATCTTTAATGATCACCAATAGGAAACAATTGACTAAACTATAGTCCATTCATACCATCAAATGTTTTGTAGTCATTTGAATCAATGAAGTCTGTGCTATTTGCCTTGGAAGGATTTCAATCATCAATAAAAGCAGATGAAAGAGAATGAATATGATCATAATATATTATATACAAAATATCTTCTTTAATAAAAATAAAACACCAAGGTACAGTTTAGAGCTTCCCAAAATATTTCATGCATCTCTGAAACCACCATTCTTGTGGATCTTCAAGTCACATTTTCTTCTTATATCTTTGTAACCTAGTGTTCCCTAAAAAAGTGTGTTTCTGTAACCCCCCAAATGCATGAAGAATATTATGTAACTATTATGCTTTAAACAAGGCAAGCTCTTCATATAAGCATATTAATAGTCATGTTAATGCAAAAATTGAGAAAACATTATGTGCTTGTGGAATTAATAGAAATTAAATGTGTTGATTTATTTTTGTTGAGTACCACCCACAAAGCTTCACTTGCACACAATCATAGTGCTTGTTGTAGTTACTAGATGTAGTCACAAGATGGACATATGTCCTCTTGATCTAGACTGATTTGAATCAGTGGCTCTGCCTCAAGTCTACAAGAAGCAGGCACTTGCCTTGGGGTGCAGCTTTTGCTCGGTTCTGTACTATGCCCTTTCCATAGTATAGTCAGTCGCATGCCATTGAAGATTCCTTTTCTCGTCACATTCGTTAACACCCAATTTAGAAAATTAAGATATGCACAAAACACTGCAAATCATGTGCACAAGATCAAAACCATAATGAAAGTACCTGATGCGCTTGAGGACTTGGAAGTAAAGGGCCAATAATAAGACATCTCATGCACTATCCATAAGTTGTATATACTTGTACATGTGCATACATAAACACACAGACACACTCCTTGCATGTAGTTTTGTTACTTAGCTTATGCAGGCCTTGAGTTCACAATCCTGCTACCTCAGTCTTCTAAGTACTTGGAGTAGCAGTATTTACTATCACTCAGGACACTCTATTACCATTAATTAAGAGCCCAAGTATGGTTAACTTTGAATGATATGTTTATCTTTACTTACTCATTTTTCTGAATTGCAGTGGATTTTAAGCACAAATATACATGTATTAAAACTTTGATTAAAATTTCCACAGAGGCAGCTGATCTGAACAAGGGGGAGCTCATGGACCCTAGACTAATGACGG